CAGACAAACGTCCGTATCTAGAAGCCACGCAAACCTCAGCCCTTGCACCAATAAAACCAGACTTTACAATTATTTTTGGGGAAATTTGATGATTAGACTAATACATATATCATCTCGAGTAATTGATAGTGTGTATACTTTCATTCGTTATCACCTGAAACCAGGCCTAGACCACGCTTATGAGTAGCCTAGAAGCATGAAACAGCTGTATGTTTATATATCCATAATTGAACAGCACCCTTCCGGAAAATTTGTATTAACCTCTCCGGCCTGATATTTGGTCATGATTCCCAATATAAATTAGTTTTATACTTAATTTTTTTAATACCTGATATAACAAGTCATCAAAGTAATTATAAATATTTTCACACTAATTGATTTGAACCCACTTAACAAAAAATTTCTACACAAATATCGGAAATTCCTATTAATATTAAAACGTATTTTAGAGGTGACGTAAACACACAAGCAAATCATCTTAACAGGAATTGTTTTTTTAATGTGATTTTCTTGATAACATCAAGAAGCGTTCTTTCGCAAAATCAGATCTGATCTATGACTCTTACCTATACCCAAGGAGCTAGTGCACAGTTTTAAACATCTTGAATACTCAGAAACGTTCAGTCATATAAAGAAGTAGCAATACAGATTGCTTCAGATATGTAAAAAATACTGAAATTCTAGTTGATGATCGTATAAAGATAATACTACTGATAATTAAGTAAAGATAATAGCTTCTGTTGACCCTTAAACTGTAGTAAGCAAAAGTAAAGTAAATGTGTGACTCAAAAAATTCTTTCATAAAACATATAAAACCATAGCGAATAAAATTTATTAATATAAAATCTACCAACTGAAGAGTATAATTGGTTGCCTACGCTTTTTCACTTTGCATAAACCGGTCAAGTCCTGGACTTGACTGGTGTTTGCACAGTGGCGCCAGACTAATAGGTACAACACAGGTACAAAATATAAATATTTGCCGCAAGAGTACTCAAAGATTATTGAAAATACAAACAAAAACTAAAGTCATCCTAGTGCGGGATATATTTTTAAACTTCAAAACCCATTTGCAACAGTTGTTTGTAAAGAATGCTTCAAGGAAGAACAGTAAATTAACAATTTCAAGATATCGAATCGTGCGCTATGAAAAACTAGATGATGAAATATTATTTAAATGTGGTGAAACAGTCTCTTTGAATCAGCTTAATATTTTTCAAATCCGAGATAAGAGGAATGTGCAGCCACTGACTCTACCAAACACTACAAATAAGATGGAGGAGGAAATCTGAACAAAAATAAATTTGATCGCGTTATGACTTCGGCTAAAAACTATGTGCCACCATATGTGGTTCTATGAAGAACTCAGAAAATTCCATCAGAGCCTTTCGCCATATGATAAAGATAGAATTCAGTGAAGATCAATAAATGAAAATATTTTTAGTTTGTATCAAAAGTTGAATTAAACCATGTATTAGCTTATTTCATTCAGTATCTCAACAAAAACTAACGTTTTTAACGTCAAAGTTTATTTTATTCTAATTGTATCCCTTAAAAAATCAAAAAAGTTTGCACAAACCAGTAGGTCCATTAATCTTTCCCTCATAAGTCATTTAGTTTTTTTACAGATCGATATAATATTTATAAAATAGACAGCAAAATTATATGCAATTAATGACAAATACGAAAATTTTCAGTAACTAAAAAAATTACATCTAAAATGTTTTGTGTTTCCTCGACATTTTTCCTCATGAGACTTGATTGGCTTATGCATTGGACCCCTCAAATGTTTTCTTGTTAGTACAGAAAATAACAACCAAACCAAACCAAGTAGCGAATATGGCTTTCCGCATTGTCTCACTCATCCTTGGCCTCTCAGGTATCCCAGCGGTAAGAATTAGCAAATTAACAGTACAGTATATTCAGATAAGAGATAGACCGGACATAAACAAGACCACGTGATCATCGAACGCTGTAACATTCGGCAGGGACGTATTAAGAGTCACGCAGTACATATTTTAGATAGTAGATGCTGCTTTGCGTAACTTTGTAGTAAATTAGCACAATTCGATGTGTATACGATTGGTGATGGGTATAGGATCATGTGGGAGTGGGGTAAGATATATATAATGATGTAAATATACATAAGGGTTTCAAAATGTTCGCTTCGATTTCCAGCTTCGGATGCCGCCTGATGTTTGGTGAAATACAGTCGAATATAATCTCAAAATGGCGTTCAAATTAGCCTAAATTAAAAATAATCGTATATCTCTTAAAATTGCTTTTAGAATATTGATTAGTATATTTTTTGATTTCTAGGTAAATATCTAACCAAATTAAAACGTTCAAAACCTAAAAAAATGTGCATGGTTGAACATTGTCAGAAAGTAGATTCTTGAATAGGTTTTGCCAAAATGGGTTCAAAAATGTCAATAATTAATTAAAAAATACAGTAGCTTTATAATTATAACTTACCGAATTTGAAGAACGACATCTTTTATTGGGAAGATGAGCTTGATGAGCTTTCATCATCGCTACCGCCTGAAGCACCAACGTCAATAATGAATGGCTCGACTTGTTCCTCTAAAATATTGTCCAGTTCCCACATTCTCTTTTCAACTTTGTCTTTCACGTGCTTAATACAGTTTTCCCATTTTTGCGCTGTTATTAATTCTAGTGCTTCTTTGAAAAGTCCTTTGAGGTCACAAAATTTAAAAGTTGTATTGTGCTTAGCTATATAATTTTTAACCTCTGCCCATATGAGCTCAATGGGATTGAGCTCGCAATGGTATGGAGGTAAACGGAGCACAGTTTTATTTTGACTTGCTGCCATTTCGTCAATGGCGTATTTTTGATATTCCGCCTTGTGATCCTTGACAATTCTTGATAATTGTACTTTCAGCATTGCTTCTTCAAAGTTGATATTTTTCGAGCGGAGCCAATTTTGAACATCAACTTTCCTTGAAGCCGTTGTTGGGACCTTCTCCATTCTTCGAGAATGATAAGGCGCATTATCCAACACAATTACTGCGTTTTCCTCTAAGTTCGGTAAAATTTTTGAAAACCACTGTTCAAACGATTCGCCATTCATTTCCTCGTGGTAATCTCCAGTTTTCTTAGACTCAAAGCACCACAGACCGTCAACAACAAATCCATCCTCACTGCCAATATGGCAGATAATGAGCCTTTTCCCTTTACCTGGAAATCGAAGTACTAACTCGTGTAGATTTATTTCAATAAGCGAACCTTTTTCAAATGTTTTCATCACATTCAGCGAAAAAACATTGAGACATGAGTATCAGATTGCTATAATTGGGATTATTTAGTCATATTAAAAGAAAGAATATTGAACGTCGTATGATTACTCAGCGCTTCACAATTTAATTTAAAGTTATAAACCTTTAAAAAATGAATGATCAGGAACCTGAAATACGCGCAAATATTAATATTAACAAATTATAACTTTATAAAGCTTAAAGTATGAATTAAAATGATTAGAAATATTAGGAACGGTACACAATATAAAACTTAGTAACTTTTTTTAAGTTTATAATACTCGACATATTTTAAGATTATATTACAAAATTATTGAAATATCGAAAACACATAAAAACATGGCTTAACAAAGTTCTAACAAATGAAAATGACAATAAAATATCCACGCATTCTATCGAAAGTTATAAAAGTTTTGTTACTTGTAATATGTTTTATCTGCCCGCTGGAATTAATGTTTAGAACCTTGTTCCCAAGGTTTGAAAAACGTCCGATTGTTGTCTATTACTCGTATTTACCTGCTCGATTTTTTAATCCGGTGGACAGTCCATCTAGAAAGGCCCTCCTGGATGAAGTTACAGAATCATCAACCCATACTTTACTTGTAGTGTGTCCTGCGTTTACCCACGTTTCATCAAGGTAATAAATCTTCCTGTTTTGATTTCTATATTTCCCAATTTTTGTTAAATAATCCCTCCTCCATAGCACAATTTCTTCTCTATCCAGTAGTAAACTATTACGACCCCGTTTTTTCCATTTGAAATTTAAATGCTTCAGAAACGCATGGAAAGTTGATCGTTTGAAATTTGGCAACGTTGTATCTCCATTTACCTCCTGCAGTACTTTATCTATAGTAGGTATTTCATTCCTAAAGAAGAATTCATGCACTTTCCTCCTAATCGCATGTTTATCAGCTTCATCCAATGATTTAACAATACTTTTGCGATGTTTACTGGTCCATTGGCTCAGAAAAGGTGTGATTTTTTTTGTATTGTCTTAACACATTAAACACTGATGCGCGACACACCCCAACTTTGTGAGAAACCTTCACAACAATTTCTTTGATGGTTGATGCCTCGTTCTCCTCGCGCTCGATCTTATATATATTCAAAATGACCTCTTTCATTTCTGCTCTCAGGTGTCTTTTTTTAGAGCGTTTCCTAGGTGGACTACAGGAGTTTACAACTTCATCGGCAGTATCTGTACTACTGGGCATTTTGCGCAAGCAGTTGATAACAATAACAATCAATAACAAGGTATAACAATAACAACGACAAACTCAACAACTTAATAAGATAACAAACTAAAACGTCCAAAGAAATATCAAATTGCAATGATGCACACGACATACGTAACACGTCTGAACCTGAATGTGACTCTGCCTTGATACGACTGCTCTGCCGCTCGGCATAGGCATTTAATTGCGAATTGACCAATGAGGGCTCCTGTTTTACGTCGAGACGGCGGCGTTAGCGTGAAAATCACCCGAACCTTTTGTTTACATCCGGTCTATCTCTTATCTGAATATACTGTACTATTTTGAGCCAGTCTTTGCCTCTTAAATACTCAGCTATCTTCAATGCTATTAGGATGTACCTCAAGGCTTCTCAGTTCCCTTTTATTTTCTATATACATTTCGGATTTTTAAAAACATATAAAACACATCAAAGTTCATCACTAAGAGTTACACAATACACGAATATACTGCAACTTTGATGTGATTCTCTCTTTAATCTAATTAGCAAAGATCTGGACTTACTTTTCAATATCTCAGCGGCTCGTAACTTGATACTAAATGGTAATAAATCTAAAACAATAAAAATCTTTGTCAATTACACTTGATAAAATTCCATTACCAATTGGAACCATTAGCAAAAATTCAGGGTTATGGTTGGACAATGAATTTTATTTCCATAATAAAGAATTATATTCAAAATCATATAATATTCTCAAACAAATATATTAAACAGTGTATATGACCCAGCTATAACAAAAAATGACAAGTTTGATTATATAAGCCACGTGTATAAAGAGAATTGTGAACTGAAGATATCAGCAAAATACCAAAGTCTATGTTTGGTTCATCAAATTTTAGTAATTAGAAAACCAGAATATCTTTTGTATGAACTGAAAACAAATTTGAAAATGCCAATAACTTGACTACCAGAAATCGACAATTATTAGTTATGCCTACGCACCTTACGTTTCTCTACAAAAAAAACCTCTTATACTGTTGCCAAGCCATACAATATTCTTCCATATGGATTTCGAAATTACACTCTGAACAATTTCAAAAAGAAGCTGAAGTCGTGGTTACTCAGCAACCTTGATAGTTCTGAAATAGATTGGTCGCATACGATATCTTTATAGACTGGAAAAAAATATGTAAATCTGTAGTAATAGATCGCTGATTACTTTAGAATTCATTTGTTGAGCTATTCAAAAAATTAGGAATAATGACTGTAGATTCATTGTATGTCTATAACTGTGCCGTCAAGGACAAAGAAAATTCTAATAACTATAGCCTCCAAAGAGGATCTGCTGCTACCGAGCATTTAAGACCTTGATTCCAACTAACCACTGTAGCTCACAGGTTGTCGTTGACTTCAAAAAGGCCAACGATTATGTGACCCAACGTGTATAACAAATTACCAGAATGTATAAAGAGTATCCAATCGGTAACACTTTTTAAGAGAAATGTCAGAGAATTTCTTGTATAAACTCCTATATATTCATTAAGTGATTACTCAAGTATTTGATGCTTATTAGATTTTTACTCTAGTGCTGTATTTTTGAAGGTGATTGTACTGTTTTCACCAGCTTGCGATGTTTGAAAATTCCAATACTCTATTATGGAGTCTCATGGAAATAAAGATTTTTATTATAAACTGCTGTCTTGATTCGGGTCTAAAGGCTGTCGTCGGTTGGAGACGTTAGGACGAAATTCCAACCGCCGCGAAAGCCTTAACCAATTTGTCGATTATTATTATTATTATTTTTGAGCCGTTCAAAAAGGTCAATTTCATATTAGGATCTAGGTTGAGTTGAAAAATACCGTCATTGTGTGACTCCTCGGATTCGATTCTCAAAATTTTATCGCTTATCAATGCCTATTGTTGTATGTTGGACATATTATGTTAAATGATCGAATACAGGCAATTTATTAGTATTATTATTATTTCCAAAATACTAACACTTTAATTGATCGAATCATCCTACTCATGATAAGGAAAACAATTATTTCTATTAACCCTTAGACTATAATAAGTAAACATTGGTGACTCAAGAGTTGCTCTCATAAATCATATAAAACGATATTGAATAAATGTGTTCTTGTAAGTACAGAAAATATCAACTAGTAAAAGCACGAATATGGCTTTCCGCGCTGTCCTACTCATCCTTGGCCTGTCAGCTATCGCTAGCGGTAAGAATTAACTATATCAATATTATTATTTTGAGCCAGTCTTTAGTTCTCTGAGATGTCTTCTATGGTGTCGCTAAGCTTTTTGCATGCGACACGTAACCGCTAGGTTCCTGCTCCTCATGATAGCACTAAGGGCCGTATTGGGGCCTTGATTTTCATAGCTGTCTAATGTTGCGTGTCAGCGCTCTATTTTGATGTTATGTTACAAATATCTATTTGCATCAAATTGTTGACTTATGTCATCTGTTATATCAGCCTAAAACTTTTTACAATTCAAAAAGAAAATATAGCCTCCCTATAGGAGAGCACTGACGCTGACACGGAGCAGTAGAAATCTAGAAATACCCCAGCCTGTCTGAAGGAGAGGAAAGACTGAGAAATTCATGGAGGCCATAAAAGCGTCCTACAATTGTAGGAACGACTGACGGATACGACCCTAAAACTTTTTGTACAAAGACAAATGACTGATACGCTAGCGATAGAAATTTCCTTTCATCCCGTTTGATACCATTTTAAATGAAACGTAGGCAGCCCAAAGAAGTACACCCACTACTACTGGAGAGACTACACTGGAGAGGTCCCATGTGACGCAGTGGTCGGAGGTCATGATGAACTCAACAGAACCACATACATTGGGCAAGGAGTCGCTCTCAACAACGACTATTACACATTCTCACCTTTGACGATCATCGAGGGTGATGCAGTCCAAAGAGCTCCGCTCTGGGGCTATGGAATGCCAGTCGTACAGACCAGGGTGAGTACTGATCCTTGTGATGCGTTCGTTAATACATAACCACAGTTCATACGTGTATAACGTCTGCAAAGTAATAGCTCGAAGACAAGTCTATATCGCATATTCTGTCAATACATTTATTGATATGAAATACTTTTTCCAACAAATATCTGACATATTTGAATGGTAATTACACTAAATTGTTTATCTACTCGATTGTTCCACCTCCAGTGTATGTAATGTAACAAACACAATGATATTTTTATGATAATATTGTTCCAGAAAAGCTTAGAAGATGATTCTACATCCACTTCAAGTGCAGATTTGCTTATCAGCAACCAATAAGTGGTCTATGCCAGATAAATATCTATTTGTCAAATATCAAGTTCATGAAACCCAGTTCATCTAAATCGCATAATATACTAAGCTACGTAGAAAAAAGAATATACAGTAATAATTAGTCTATGACGAAATAAATGAATAAAACTATCAGCTTTTCAAACATACCGACTTTGTGTCTGTTCTAAGACGTAATTTTTACGAATTTCGTTAAGGCTTGTGATAAAATTAGGCATAGTCTTCTTGTTGACAAATTAGTAGATTTACAGATTAGGCTATGGAGTTCATGATATCTTTCTTAACAATCTATCTAGAGTTCCATGGTGATCAAACTTGAGTTGCTTATCCTAATTTTTATGAATGATTTATTGGATGTTTTAGTCGTAGAAAAACTCCGCTGATGAATATATCGCACAATATTTTGCCACTGATTGCTTGGAGCTTTAAATCCAGGTTGACCTGACTCAGAACTGGTCCAACCAAAAAAAATAACGCTAAATATAGATAGGTCAAAAGTTAGTTTCACAAGAAAGGTGAGCTCATAGATTTTATATATAATATTGATGGAAAGACCTTAGTTAGGCATATCGAGGTTAGGGATTTATGTGTTATTTCAGATTGTAGGTTGTCTTCTTCTAAACATACTGAGAAAACTGTATCTCACGCATTAAGAGCAGATTTTTGGTAAAAAATTCCGAGAATACTATACCTTACTTGAACATGCCATTATTATATGGAATCCATATTATGAGGTGCAAATGATTTGTGTTAATCGAGTTCTGCGATAGTTTCCTAAATTTTCTCCCTCTAAAGATGCGGGATTTATCTGCTAAGAGGAATTAATAACTATGAACTCTGTAGTTGATTTAAAATACCTACAGTATATTCAGATAAGAGATAGACCGGACATAAACAAGACCACGTGATCATCGAACGCTGTAACATTCGGCAGGGACGTATTAAGAGTCACGCAGTACATATTTTAGATAGTAGATGATGCTTTGCGTAACTTTGTAGTAAATTAGCACAATTCGATGTGTATACGATTATTGATGGATATAGGATCATGTGGGGGTGGGGTAAGAAATATATAATGATGTAAATATACATAAGGGTTTCAAAATTTTCGCTTCGATTTCCAGCTTCGGATGCCGCCTGATGTTTGGTGAAATACAGTCGAATATAATCTCAAAATGGCGTTTAAATTAGCCTAAATTAAAAATAATCGTATATCTCTTAAAATTGCTTTTAGAATATTGATTAGTATATTTTTTGATTTCTAGGCAACTATGTAACCAAATTAAAACGTTCAAAACGTAAAAAAATGTGCATGGTTGAACATTGTCAGAAAGTAGATTCTTGAATAGGTTTTGCCAAAATGGGTTCAAAAATGTCAATAATTAATTAAAAAATACAGTAGCTTTATAATTACCTATAACTTACCGAATTTGATGAACGACATCTTTTATTGGAAAGATGAGCTTGATGAGCTTTCATCATCGCTACTGCCTGAAGCACCAACGTCAATAATGAATGGCTCGACTTGTTCCTCTAAAATATTGTCCAGTTCCCACATTCTCTTTTCAACTTTGTCTTTCACGTGCTTAATACATTTTTCCAATTTTTGCGCTGTTATTAATTCTAGTGCTTCTTTGAAAAGTCCTTTGAGGTCACAAAATTTAAAAGTTGTATTGTGCTTAGCTATATAATTTTTAACCTCTGCCCATATGAGCTCAATGGGATTGAGCTCGCAATGGTATGGGGGTAAACGGAGCACAGTTTTATTTTGACTTGCTGCCATTTCGTCAATGGCGTATTTTTGATATTCCGCCTTGTGATGCTTGACAATTCTTAATAATTGTACTTTCAGCATTGCTTCTTCAAAGTTGATATTTTTCGAGCGGAGCCAATTTTGAACATCAACTTTCCTTGAAGCCGTTGTTGGGACCTTCTCCATCCTTCGAGAATGATAAGGCGCATTATCCAACACAATTACTGCGTTTTCCTCTAAGTTCGGTAAAATTTTTGAAAACCACTGTTCAAACGATTCGCCATTCATTTCCTCGTGGTAATCTTCAGTTTTCTTAGACTCAAAGCACCACAGACCGTCAACAACAAATCCATCCTCACTGCCAATATGGCAGATAATGAGCCTTTTCCCTTTACCTGGAAATCGAAGTACTAACTGGTGTAGATTTATTTCAATAAGCGAACCTTTTTCAAATGTTTTCATCACATTCAGCGAAAAAACATTGAGACATGAGTATCAGATTGCTATAATTGGGATTATTTAGTCATATTGAAAGAAAGAATATTGAACGTCGTATGATTACTCAGCGCTTCACAATTTAATTTAAAGTTATAAACCTATAAAAAATGAATGATCAGGAACCTGAAATACGCGCAAATATTAATATTAACAAATTATAACTTTATAAAGCTTAAAGTATGAATCAAAATGATTAGAAATATTAGAAACGGTACACAATATAAAACTTAGTAACTTTTTTTAAGTTTATAATATTCGACATATTTTAAGATTATATTAAAAAATTATTGAAATATCGAAAACACATAAAAACATGGCTTAAAAGAGTTCTAACAAATGAAAATGACAATAAAACATCCACGCATTTTATCGAAAGTTATAAAAGTTTTGTTACTTGTAATATGTTTTATCTGCCCCCTGGAATTAATGTTTAGAACCTTGTTCCCAAGGTTTGAAAAACATCCAATTGTTGTCTATTACTCGTATTTACCTGCTGGATTTTTTAATCCGGTGGACAGTCCATCTAGAAAGGCCCTCCTGGATGAAGTTACAGAATCATCAACCCATACTTTACTTGTAGTGTGTCCTGCGTTTACCCACGTTTCATCAAGGTAATAAATCTTCCTGTTTTGATTTCTATATTTCCCAATTTTTGTTAAATAATCCCTCCTCCATAGCACAATTTCTTCTCTATCCAGTAGTAAACTATTACGACCCCGTTTTTTCCATTTGAAATTTAAATGCTTCAGTAACGCATGGAAAGTTGATCGTTTGAAATTTGGCAACGTTGTATCTCCATTTACCTCCTGCAGTACTTTATCTATAGCAGGTATTTCATTCCTAAAGAAGAATTCATGCACTTTCCTCCTAATCGCATGCTTATCAGCTTCATCCAATGATTTAACAATACTTTTGCGATGTTTACTGGTCATTGGCTCAGAAAAGGTGTGATTTTTTTTGTATTGTCTTAACACATTAAACACTGATGCGCGACACACCCCAACTTTGTGAGAAACCTTCACAACAATTTCTTTGATGGTTGATGCCTCGTTCTCCTCGCGCTCGATCTTATATATATTCAAAATGACCTCTTTCATTTCTGCACTCAGGTGTCTTTTTTTAGAGCGTTTCCTAGGTGGACTACAGGAGTTTACAACTTCATCGGCAGTATCTGTACTACTGGGCATTTTGCGCAAGCAGTTGATAACAATAACAATCAATAACAAGGTATAACAATAACAACGACAAACTCAACAACTTAATAAGATAACAAACTAAAACGTCCAAAGAAATATCAAATTGCAATGATGCACACGACATACGTAACACGTCTGAACCTGAATGTGACTCTGCCTTGATACGACTGCTCTGCCGCTCGGCATAGGCATTTAATTGCGAATTGACCAATGAGGGCTCCTGTTTTACGTCGAGACGGCGGCGTTAGCGTGAAAATCACCCGAACCTTTTGTTTACATCCGGTCTATCTCTTATCTGAATATACTGTAGTTTCGAGAATAGAAGGTAGCTTACGGCTGCTTTGTATACGAGTATGTTACGTGTAAAGTTAGAATAATGATTAAACTTAGGTTTACCCTGGTGAATTGCACAATACCCAGAAAAAGTGGTTAATATCCAAAACAGTATTGAAATTTTACATATTTCGAACTTTACCCGGGTAAAACGCGTGCAGTTCTAAAATGGCAACCAAATAAAGCGGACGCGCGCGCTTAGTTTTCAATGAGTTGGTGTCTTCAAAACAGTTTTTATTTTAATAATGAACAATACCAAGAAATGTTAGAATCAGTCAAGTTGGCAAAGAATGCTAAAACTAAGACTACAATATTGACGGTTAAAGAGGTTTGACATATGTTTTGTGAGAGGCGTTGGAAAGCTTATTGCTCGTGTATCATCAGGTGAATCTAGCATAAAATATAATAATGTAATGTTTGACATTTTGCACGATGCACATTTAGTTATAGGACATGGTGGAAAACATCGTATGGAAAGTGAATGTAAGAATTGTGTGAAGGGTGCCAAAAAAAAAATTAAATCTTCCAAAAGAGGACTTGGGGTTTTTTCGGAGATGAACAGCCGTTGACAAGTGGACCTGACTGACATGCAATCACATCCAGATGGAGAATATAAATTTATCATGGTGTAGGTATCAGGACCAGTTAAATAAGTTTGTTCAAATACATGCATTAACATCGAAAAGGGCTGAGGAAGTAGCTAAGAGCCTGATAGACATATTTTGTATTTTCGGCGCCCCATCCATACTACAATCGGACAACGCCCATGAGGCCGCCAACCGTGTCATTGAAGAGTTATATACAATATGGAGTGGCCTTAAAATAGTCCATGGCAAACCACGTCACAGTCAGTCACAAGGCAGCGTGGAAAGAGCAAATCAAGATATACAAAATATGCTTATGACATGGACGGATGATGAAAACTGCAGGCGATGGTCAGAAGGTATAAGATTTGTCCAGTTAATGGAAAATAGGGCATGCCGTGACGGGATAATACAAGCTCCTTATGCTGCCATGTTTCGGCATGATATTAACGTCGGCCTGTCCACATCAGCGTTTCCAAAAGAAGCTATTGAAAATCTACGAACCGAAGAAGAGCTCGAGAAATTTGTGGAGGAATTTGGTGTAGGCGAAGAGCTTCAAGAAGAACAAAATGAAGACCAATATATGGACAGTAACCCAGAAACAGATAACATGCAAGAAAATATTACTGAAGATGGAAATATGCAAAATATCAACAATAATTTTAGAGAAAATGCTGGTAATATGGAAACTTCAGATAGTCAGGGGAAATGCTCAGAGTGTGACAAACCAGGTACATCGGGGAATATATGTTGTGAACTTTGCTTTTGCCAAAAAAACATACGGTCAAACAGACTAGAGAAAAAATCAAATTTAAAAAATTAGGCAAAGAAAATGAAAGCTTTGTCTAATTCAAAGTTTCCGCCTTGTTCTGTTGGTGATACAGTGAGAGTGAAAATTCCAGACGTTGATACAGGGAGGGGTGATTTTAGAAATATTCCCATGACAGTAATCGAGAAAAATGACGGCGATTTTTATCAGCTAGCAAACAAGAGAGGAACTATCAAGGAGATGTTTTCCAGGAACCAATTTTCTGTGTGTAATGACAAACTTGAAGGTATGGAAAGTTTATAACTGGAGAAAAAAAGTTTACGACACCTTGCAAACGAACAATCTCTTTCATCCTCTTTAAACAAATAGATTATAGTATCTTGTACTTTGTTAGGATACAGTTTCAGTGTAACCTTTGATTTTTAAAATCTGTTCTTTCAATAAAATGTGTTTTTAAAACACTTATGGCGTTATTTTTTAACATTAACCACACGAAAGTGGATAGAACGCAGTTTACCCGGGTAAAGTCCGAAACATTTACAATTTCAGTAATATTTTGGACTTTACCCATGTTGTCTGGGTATTGTGCAGTGTACCCGGGTAAACCTAAGTTTAGTCATTATTCTAACTTTACCCGTAATATATACATTTAAATAGATACATTGATTTTGCTGATGTTCTGGGGCAGCTTGGCCTTTGTGTATGTTCTTATTTATCTTGGTGTATGGGAACATTTGGACTACAAGTTGCTAAGACTAAGATGTTACTTAAGTCTCCAGTTTACGTAAGATGTTTCATTATGTTACTTCATTAATGCATAATAGTACACCAGTGAATGCCATTTAATTTTTATATGCAGTGAATAATACAAGTCGGATGTATTGTAACAAATGTGTCAGTATAGCCTTTCATCGTAACTCATTTGCGGCCAATGCAATGAAGAAAGAGGTAATAATAAGAAGAAGTAGGAGAAATATTCCACGGGACTTTTGTAGCTAAGACCAGAAATGGATTAGTTTATGATACTCCTTGAAATTCTATTAAACACAATAATACTCTATCGTATAGTCCAATCATATTAGCAAATTTCCCCGAAATAATTGTAAAGTCTGGTTTTACTCGTACAAGTTGTTCAAGGGGGCATTTAAAACATGGACGCATAACATGGGTACACCAAGTTTTGTGAGAAAACTTTTCATTTGACAACAAAGAGTGAGAAAACGTGTTTCTTTGAGATTCAATCAAAAGTGTTGACAGCAACGAAAAAAACTTCTCATATAAGATTTTCAGGTATGAATAATAGCAAAAATTGTATGGCCGAAAAACGAGGTAAAATGCAGGTTTTGGCACTTGTTGGTAATGTGACGATAATATCAGGCAACTACTTGAAATTCTGATAATCCGTAGGATTCATACTTCTGAATAACAACAACAAAGTTGGCGTATATTACTCAAGTAGTTTTTTGAGAATTTCTAATTGTTTATCCGAAAGCACCTGTTTTCGAGTCATCACTACTAATTTATTGAGCAATATACGGGATTCATTAAAAGAGCACTTGATAGCAAAATACACGTGTTTACCTTGCCGATATTAATCACAAACCATTAAGAAAGATAAATGTTATTTTTATGCGAAAATCAAAGTTTACGTTTTTTTCTTCTAAACAAATTCAAACATTTCGTTTTTGTGAGTAATGCGCTACGATATTTGAAAAACACACGTTAGTATACACATTTTACAACAAAACGGATGTGTCTATCATCTTTTGTTACGAATTGCCCACAAATACGAATTATTTTAATTTGTTTAGAAGAAAAAACGATTCATGTCGGCAAGGTAAGCTGGCATATTTTGGTATAAAATGCCCTTTGAAGTAACCCTCAATAAACTAGTAGTGATGGCCGGAAAACAGGTGTTTTGGGATAAACTATTAGAAATTCTGAAAAACTACTCGACCAATCTAATTCAAGTTTTTTTAGGTAATTTAGAAGTACAAATCCTACGAATTTGAAGGATTTCAAGTATCTGCGAGAAACCATCGTCACATTACCAACAAGCTCCAAAATCTCCAGTTTGCCACGGTTTTCGGCCATAACTTCTTTGCTATTAGCGTAGGTCTAATAAATACCCTAAAATCTTATATAAAGAGTCTTTCCGTTCCACTTTCGATTGAATCCGAAAGAACACGTTTTCTCATTCTTTGTTGTCGAATAAAAATGTTTCCCGAAAAAATTGGTGTACCCGTTTTATGCGTCATGTATTGAATACTTACTCCCTTGAACAAGTCGCAGCAATAAAACCAGACAATTATTTCTTAAACCATGGGTATTTTTGTCTGAGATGATTATACTATTAGTTAATTTTAAAGGACGTTGCCTAAACTTCTGCAATCCTGTATTTCTGGAATCATTATTGTGCACTGTGGCGTTTCCTGTTGGCTACAAGATACTGGGGGTGCTGGAAATTATATTGGAGGGGTCACATATCTATTTATGTAAATCATTATTCCAGATTTTATGCGTGACGTCACCCTATCCAGACAAGTGGATTGCCACGAATTCACAGAATTTGGTTGCAGATACAGTTAACGAACAACTGGTACTTGGTGGTATCGAAGGCAGTAAACATGACGACAATGTCAGATATGAGCTGAACATTGGCAGAGCTAAGGTAACTAATAAACGCATTCTTAATTCTAAATTTTATTTCTTTGAAAATGTGTTAAGAGACGTATTCGAAAACAGATGGGCTCGGTCAAAAATATTTTGAAGGCTACCCAGACTTACTGTCTGGGAAACTTGAGTTGATAGAATGTATAAAAGTAAACAAATACCATTTCAGAGAACCACCCACCGATCTTATGGGAAAAAAGAATTTGCCCAAACCTTGAACATGCATTTTCCAAGTGATGCTGAACAAAGGTTCTCATTGGACTAACTCGACTTCAGGGCCAGAAGGTTTTGAATATCGTTGAAGCGGTTCTCTTTTAACCTTACTAGTTGAAACATACTTATCGAATCTAGCTTGCATAGGTTGCCTAATGAAAACTGGAAACAATATCAAAAACATATTTTGTCCTGCTTAGTGATTGAGCTCAAGTCCATCTGATATATTTACCTCTGAATAAATGACGAAAATCTCCATTAAATCATCATTTTGAAAAATACCTCCTTATCGTAAGATATATTTCTCTGGATACGAAGGTTAGTTAGGGGCAAAATAAAATTAAGAGCCACACTGCGATGCTCAGTCGTGCACCTTCCATGAAATCGAGGAAAAACCGTCGAAAGTTTAAACCTCTGATTTATTTATATGTAAAAAAAACGTTGCCAATTAGTAAAGAAAATGACACTGATTCACAACGTATGAATACACCTAACACCTACTTTATACTGTAATGCTAAGTTTGTAGCGCCATCCCTGGGATATACTCCGAACCTTTTATAGTACCTATACAAACTGTTATAGAACCCTTTGAAAATATAAATTAAATATTCAAATTATATACAAGATATTTTAGATAAAATAAGGCTCAACCCAATTTTATTTTTAAAACGTGTATTTTTTCAATACAATACAAAAAAATAGCAACGATGCAAGTTGCTAGTAATCTAAAAATAATCGTTATTACCGATGTACCATGTAAACTTACAATTAGCAATTTCTCTACTCCCTTTATGAGTTTCGGGACTACTCTGAACATTTTCCGAAATCCTAACCTAACAAAAGAATTGTTAATTTCATTATGCTTATGCTCGGTAAATTTTTCCAAAAAATGTGCAAACCGTAAATACTGTGAAAGTTTTTAGGACACCAAAATGTTCGAATCATTTAATCCTGATTACACAGTGCATGTACCTGGTTTATATATGTAATCAAAGTTATGTTTTACTTTTTAAATCCCCGCTTTAGATAAGCCTCCTTTACAATGACTAAGTTTGCAAATTTATATTCAGTTTAACGCCCAATAGATATCAGCATCACCGACACAAAACTAATGAAAACCCCGGCGCCGCACAAAATTCATTTCAATTCAAAATTACTAATACATTGGACTGTCAAAAATAACGCCGCGACAATCCAGCATCAGCGCCACTCTGTGGCTGTACTCCGTACTAACTATATAAGATTATTTTTAACCCTATATTATTTTGTTTAGACAATACGTTACTCATGTTATACAAAACAATTGTATCCGTTTCATATTTGATCTTGTAAAAGCGAAATATTCCGTTCTAAGTTGGTTAAAAGTTAATAACTGGGCCAAACTGTTCAGTTTTTCTTTACAAATGCTACTTACGTCTAGACCTTCTTACTTGAGAGAAAAAATTTCCTTTAATAATGATGTTCACTGTAGAACTCTCAGAGAAAATATCACAGCTTAAGTGTGCTCACTCTTTAAACGCAGCTTTTCCTACAATGTTGCGATTATTTATAATGACCTCCCTAAAGTATATAAAGAATTTTCATTTCTTTTATTTTTCGATAAAAAGTAAAAACAATATTACTCAACCTTCCAAACATATATACTGAGTGACAAAAGAAGCTGAACACCTACGTATCTTTTTCCGATTTTAATACTTTTTGGCATATACAGGGTGTTGCATAAGTATGGGATCAAACTTGTACGGGTTATTCATTGTTACAGTAGGAAACATTTGAGTATAGGGACCCATATCCGGAAAAGTGTCACTACGGCACTACGGCACTCAGACGCGTTAAAATTTAGAAAGACGATTATTGCCTAAATAGGATTTAACGCATTTAATTTTTGCCTTTTCTACATGGTATCATCACAACAATTGTTCAAAATGTCTTCCTCCAACCTGAATGCACCGATTTAAACGTCGTACATGATTTCGGTGGATTTAGCTAAAAATTTGATACTCGTTTTGAATGATTTCAAATGCTGCTGTAATTCATCCAATTAAGTCTTGCTCTGTTTCAACTGGAGTTTCGTAAACCAAAGACTTTACATGTCTCCACAGGAAAAAATCATGCGACGTTAAATCGGTGTATTCAGGTTGGAGGAAGACATATTGAACAATTCTTGTGATGATATGATGTCTGACGATACTACAACGTAATCATTGTAGATAAATAAAAACGTCCGTTAATTATTTATTTCTTTTAGGTGGGGAACAAACTCCTAACTGGGAAAATCATAACCCTGGATACCTACAACTCCGTATTGTACGTTGTTGATGGATGGCAAGCACAAGAAGTCAAAGAATTCGAAGTTTTAGTAGCAAACAACTGATTGTAGCCAATTCGAACATATTGATTAACCTATACAATAAAAATCTGTATTATCTCGAAATTATTCCGTAGATTATTCCCTATATTTGTCCTTGACCCTACATGACAGGATCGTGAAAATATAAGACAATTTACATCATATCAGGACTGCTTTTCGTAGCAGTGCACAATCCCAATCCCAAGTGTTGACAATCTGTCTAGGCAGTCGGCAATTCGTTTGAGGAATAAAGGAAGATGATACTAGAATAGATTTTTACGCCTTGAGGCCATGACATGAAGTGTTCAAAAATTCTCTGACTACATTTGAAAAACCAAGGGTGTGAGGCTTGCCTACATTAGAGTTGTTTTCCAAGCCAGTATCACCTGCACTACTCCCCGACAGAGATATAGGATGATGAAGTTTTCTCGGTTCAAACTAAACCAGAGACGTAAAAAGTGGGGTAACTAATAGGAATATTTTCTACACCACTGGCCTTTTCGGAGAAAAGAACAACATTTCATAGAATACCACTCAATTTTCCATTGTTTAAATTTACTAAATGAACCACGGGCATAGTTTTACTGTAGCCGCTAGAAGGCGCTCTCTACTGTACCTGTAGTGTATTAAAATGACCGAAAAATTTTTCTTAGTACAATTTTTTGCTTTTTCAATAAAAAAACTGATTCTTCGCACTTTTCTGCATAAAAAAGCTCTCCTGTGAGTTTTCGTTATAGTTAGCCGTTTTTGAGATATTTCGATTTTTAAGGTTCGATGCATTTTTAATTATTTATGGGAAAATAATATTTTTTTAACATCTTCGATTTGGGCATTACAAGTAATTAAGATGCTCGTTTAGATTGTGTTTTTGAACACAGCAATAATTCCTAACTCCAAATAAACACAAAAAAACAGAATATTAATTTGTTTAATTTTCCAATACTATTTTTAACAAATTAAATTAATTATTTACAACTAAAATGCTATTGGATAGTTAGGACTAACATACAAAATTTAACGTAGTTGCTTGAAATGTAAACCCAATTGTTCAATACACAATTCACATCTACGAATGATCGAACGTGGTATAGCATTATTCAAATAAGGCCTTATTTCATCACATGCATTCCTGATTCTGTCTATTAGCATATCTCATGTGGTTACGGGAGTCTGGTGCACTTTTTCTTTTAGAAATCCCCACACAAAGAAATCCAATGGATTTAGGTCAGGGGATCGTGGAGGCCAGGCGACTGGTCCTCCACGGCCGATCCACCTTTCTGGATAATTTTCGTCCAGCCAGTTTCTAACTATTCTCGAATAATGAGCTAGACAACCATCAAGCTGGAACCAGGCCAATCTTCTAAAATCTAACATAACATCATCCCACATATTTGCATGTTCAGCCTTTAAAAATTCCAAGAAGGTCGCAGCATTTAACCTTGCAGGCAAAAGGTAGGGTCCAAATAGTCGATTACGGTAGATACCAATCCACACGTTCACACTAAATTCATGCTGAAAATTTCTTTCCCGAACTGCATGCGGATTTTCATGCTACCAAATATGTTGATTATGAAAATTTACCACTGCACGTCTAGTGAAGCATGACCCATCGGTCCATAAAACGTTACTTAAAAACTCCCTATTATTATCAGTTCTATCAAGAATCCACTGACAAAATGTGATTCTTCGTTCTCCGTCCCTTGGCTGTAGTCCTTGCACAGGTTGCAAATAGTAAGGACGTCTATGGTCATTTCTAAAAACACGGTGAACATGGGTTGCTGAAATTCCCAAGGCACCAGAAACTCTCCTAACACTTGTGGTCGGATCTCTATCAAACTCACGCAGAATCATACGGGTAAATCTGTGCTGACGAACATTTATGTTTTGATCCCTTTGGAGATTTCCAGAACCATTTTCAATTATTTGGCGGTGCACTCTTCTTCTGCTGCGTTTCCATTTACAAAGCCATACACAAAATGAATATCCGCTAACTCTTGATTGGAGAATAAAAATGGCATTTTTATAAAACTTACAAAAAAAAACAGATAAAAGAAACTAAATTTCGTGCATTTACAATTACAAAAAAACGTTTCAGGTTTCAACAGACAACAAAACTAACTGTCAACTAATTGACGTTTAACCTTATTTCAAAAATATTTGCCGGCACAGCCTACTACTAAATTATCGAGATACTGACTTTTTAACGTTATTTTATCATAAATAATTAAAAATGCATCGAACCCTAAAAATCGAAATATCTCAAAAACGGCTAACTATAACGACAATTTACAAGAGAGCTTTTCTATCTTAAAAAGTGCGAAAAATCAGTTTTTTCATTCAAAAAGCAAAAAATTGCACTAAGAAAAATTTTTCGGTCATTTTAATACACTACAGGTACAGTAGAGAGCGCCCTCTAGCGGCTACAGTAAAACTAAGCCCATGGTTCGTTTTGTCGTACCAGAAAACCCTTGTATACCAATTTTCACTGTTATGCATCAAATATTGTTCGAAATATTTAAAAAAAAAACTATTTTAGAAAGTAAATTTAAACACCCTGTATTTCGGAAGCCACGCATTTTTCGACCCATGTTTATATAGACTTTATGCATTAATTTTAAAAGTTCCATCGAATCTTAAAGTTATTCAACAATAAATTGAAACACCCTGTATATATATATATATATATATATATATATATATATATGTATATACAGGGTGTCCCAGAAGTCGACGTCAAGCCGAAACCGGGTGATAGGCAAAGTCATAACAGCTATCAGAAAAATATTTAAAAAAAAATTATGTATGTGTTTTGAAAATTATAGGTCTTTGAAAAAAATATAGAAATTTCACACCCTACGGCAGTCTGCCAACTCCTGTTACTACAAATATTAACTTTTTTTGGATTCTATTTTTACAATGTAATGATGAATAATGCATCTTCAAACTGGTGTCTCAACCTTACTGCCAACTTTTCTCGTTCAGGAAAAATTGCCACTTATTTCCCAACCAAGTATTCCAAAGTAAAACTTTGCTCAACTTTAACTGGCTGTACTGGAAAAAAATGTACTACGAGAGTTTGGCAAGTAACCTTAAAAGTTGGCGCATTTAATAAGGATTCCGAATTGGTATAACACTTAGAAGACTACTCGTTAACTTATGCACAATTTTTATTTGAGGAAAAACTGATGAAAATTTTTCAAAATTTCCTAATTAAACAGCGATTATGAAAACGCACAAGGACCCTTAAGGATAACTGTTTGCACAACAGTGGGCGTCAAAATGCTGCTGATGATGATTTATCTTTACAGCAAATGCTCAAACTGTTTTCCTTCAGCCGCAATACACGCTCGACATCTTCTTAAAAAAGATCGGGTTATTAAACGAGCGAATCCACGGTTATTAACAAACTCAGCTGCTTCCAATAATATTTGCCGTAGCTCAGCTACATTTCGAATCGGCTTGAAATACACTTTTTCTTTTACAGTTCCCCAGTAAAAAAAATCTAACGGATACAAATCTGGTGACCGGGTTGGCCACGGTATTGTACCAGACCGCCCTATCCATCTGCCTGGAATGTTTTGATCGAGATACTCTCTCACTGAGAGTGCATAGTGCGCTGGGCAGCCATCATGCTGAAACCACATGTCCCTGTAAATACTCAGTGGCACGTCCTCCAATACATTTTCTAAATGATTTTGCAAAAAACCTAAATAAACCTCAGCAGTCAAAGTCTCTGGGAACTCAAAATTCCTGTCCAATGGTTTATCTTGAAGCGATATTGAGATTTATCTTCTCTCATCAAATGTGAGTTTGCTACGTGCCACTCGTGTAAGTTATGCAGGTTCATGTACCATATCTTTCTTAAATGTGGTCTCATCTGACCATAAAATATTTTCAAAGAACTGTGGATCTTTCCTGTGTCGTTCTAACATTGTGCGACAAAAAGCAACTCGGGGCTCATAATCCCGGGGCAGGAGAGGTTGAACACGCTGTATGTGGTATGGATGGAGCACGTTTTTTTGCAAGATTCTATGGTCTGTACTTTTGGGCACACCTGTTTTTAGTTCTATTGCACGCACTGAAGTACTCGGGTCTTCTTCGACAGCTCCTAGCACCACGTCTTCGTAAGGAAGGAAAGATCTTCTTCTTCACATTTAAGAAAGATGGGTACATGAACCTGCATAACTTACACGAGTGGCACGTAGCAAACCCACATTTGATGAGAGAGAATCTCAATATCGCTTCAAGATAAACCATTGGACAGGAATTTTAAATGGTAAAATAATCGGTCCGTTTGAGTTCCCAGAGACATTGACTGCTGAATTTTATTTGGATTTTTTGAAAAATCATGTACCTAATTTACACCTGATTTGAATCCTTCAGATTTTTTTACTAGGGAACTGTAAAAGAAAAAGTGTATTTCAAGCCGATTCAAAATGTAACTGAGCTACGGCAAAGACTATTGGAAGCAGCTGAGTTTGTTAATAACCGTGGATTCGCTCGTCTAATAACCCGATCTTTTTTAAGAAGATGTCGAGCGTGTATTGCGGCTGAAGGAAAACAGTTTGAACATTTGCTGTAAAGGTAAATCATCATCAGCAGCATTTTGAGGCCCACTGTTGTGCAAACAGTTATCCTTAAGGATCCTTCTGCGTTTTCATAATCGCTGTTTAATTAGGAAATTTTGAAAAATTTTCATCAGTTTTTTTTCAAATAAAAATTGTGCATAAATTAACGAGTAATCTTCTAAGTGTTATACCATTTTGGAATCGTTATTAAATGCGCCAACTTTTAAGGTTACTTGCCAAACTCTCGTAGTACATTTTTTCCAGTACAGCCAGTTAAAGTTGAGCAAAGTTTTACTTTGGAATACTTGGTTGGGAAATAAGTGGCAATTTTTCCTGAACCAGAAAAGTTGGCAATAAGGTTGAGACACCAGTTTGAAGATGCATTATTCATCATTACATTGTAAAAATAACATCCAAAAAAAGTTAATATTTGTAGTAACAGATGTTGACAGACTGCCGTAGGGTGTGAAATTTCTATATCTTTTTCAAAGACCTATAATTTTCAAAACACATACATAAAATTTTTTTAAATACTTTTCTGATAGCTGTTATGACTTTGCCTATCACCCGGTTTCGGCTTGACGTCGACTTCTGGGACACCCTGTATA